CCGAACCGGCCTATGACCGTGTCTACACCCAACCTGTTACTATATTTCTTTTGCTTAGACTATATATTTCCCCATTCTTTATTCTTCAAATTCGGTAATCGGCTACCCCTATTCGATCACCCATGACTATATCCGACAATCCTTTGACCACTCATAACTAGATCCAGCCACCCACCACTCAGTCTGTGAATGTTCGCTCAAATATGGCCACAAATAATCAACTTAGCGGTGGTTTGAGACGTTTTGGTCGAAAATCGGGTTTCTTTACTGACTCGCCGTTTTTCGAGTTTTATCCGGTCGAACCGGATTTTGGTTATTTGACCCAGTTTTAAATTTTCCGGTTTTAGAGGTGAGACAAGACCGCTTCATCGCCAGGCCACAGTCGAACGAGTCCGACTGGCCGGTTCGGTCCGGTTATAACAACATTGAGCGAAACCCCTCAAAAGATTAATTTTGAGAAAATACCTTTGCCTTAGATATATCATTCCCCACACTTTCCTTTTATTTTTTTCCTTTTGTTTTTTTCCTATGTAAAAGTAACTATTTTAATTTATTTATCCATCAAGTATTATCAATATATATATATATATATATATATATATATATATATATATATATATATATATATATATATATATATAAATTCTCGGGCCGGCCTGAAACCGGCCCAGAGTGAACCAACGGGCCGGCCCGCCCCGCCGAACCGTATGTAGTACGGGCCGGTTCCGGTTCCGGAAAAAGTGAACCGCGAACCGGAGTGAACCGGCCCATGGTCGTGTCTACACCCAACCTTTTACTATATTTCTTTTGCTTAGACTCTATATTTCCCCATTCTTTATTCTTCAAATCCGGTAATCGGCTACCCCTTTTCGATCACCCATGACCATATTAGACAATCCTTTGACCACTCGTAGCTAGATCCAGCCACCCACCACTAAGTCCGTGAATGGTCACTCAAATATGGCCACAAATAACCAACTCAGCGGTGGTTTGAGACGTTTTGATCGAAAACCGGGTTTCTTTACTGACTCGCCGTTTTCCGAGTTTTATCCGGTCGAACTAGATTTTGGTTATTTGACCTAGTTTCAAATTTTCCGGTTTTAGAGGTCAGACCGGACAGCTTCATCGCCAGGTCACAGTCGAACGAGTATGACTGACAGGTTCGGTCCGATTCTAACAACATTGAGCAAAACCCCTCAAAAAAATAATTTTGAGAAAATACCTTTGCCTTAGATATATCATTCCCCACACTTTAAAATTACCAAATACACCCTAATCTCAATATTGTTTTCTCTCTCCGGCCCTTTCACGTCTGCTTCCTCTATTTTTTTTCTCTTTTCTCATTCTCTTTTCCCACCCAAATCCATAGATCCTTCTCTGTCGATTCTGAGATGAAGCACCTACGCCACCATCTCCTTCGTATCCATTGGAAGGGCCTTGGAGGAGAACATACCTATTGGATCTTATAGTACGAGAAGCAGTCATAGGGACGGCGACGAGAGCACTTGAAATTGACGAAGCTGGATCCAGGGTTTTTAGCTAGATTGCATCAAGGATATCGCGGGCGGAGGCTCGGGATGGGGATAGTGTGGTGTGGCGACGTTGGGGTTAAAATGGGGAGCAAATCTAGGGTTTTTCGGTAGATTGCGCGGTGAATGGTGCAGACGGAGGAAGTTCGTGCATATTATATCCTTAAACGACTACGTTATAGTATTCGACTAACGTTAATCGACTATGTTTCAGTAGTCGATTCATGGTAATAGGCTACATTTTTAATTCATTTTTGTATTATGTTATTGTTTCTTTATTTTGCCAACATAGTTGGATTTGGGGGCATATGGATGGTGCATTTTTGTTCTCTTATTGTCAATCCATTATTCAATTTGTATAAATCAATTACAATTTTATATATTTTGTTGTTTTGTAAAGATAGTTGATTTTAATTTTTTTTGTAGTTGTTTTTGTTATTAATTTCGGATGGTGATTGTTTGGATTCATTTTGTCGAGCCGTGTTGGGTTTCATTAACGGCATTATAGTCGTTTTTTGTTACTTTTAGTAGTCAGTTTCATTATTCAACCACGATCTTAGTAGTCAGTTCCTTAATCGACTAATACCTTAAGTTGATGGTTCGATTATTACACTGACAGCGAAAAAAAAAGTTAAAAAAGTAAAAATAAATCAATTTTTTTTTTAAATAAATAAATAAAATTAAACAAAAAAAAAGAAAAAAAAAAGAAAATCTATATATAATATAAAAGGAGGATCGATGCCCTCAATGATTGACATGTGGCAAATGATGATGTCATTTATCAAAATTGCTTAGTTGGAGTTCAATTGATTAGGTGGATTCTTCAATTGATTAGGTGACATTTTTATTTAGGTATGTTTTTAAGTTCTTTCCTATTTCACATTTACACAATCATTTAATAATTACCACATATTTATATATAATATTTCAGGAATTTAATATCCTATCATTTCTAAAAATATTATATTTTTTATAATTTTAATTTTCTGAACTATATTTTTCGCCAGTTCTTTTTAAAAAATTCAGAACACTTATTTTTTTATCGAGTATTTGATTTTTTATATCATATTTTACACACTATTTTTTTATAGCGAAATAATCATAATTATATTTAATTATTTATACATGGTTAATTAATTGTTTTTATCTCACTTTTTAATTTAATTTTTCGAAATATATTTTTCGAATGTCTTTTTAAAAAAAAATAGAACACTCGTTTTTTTTATGATATATATTTTCGAAGTTAGTTTTTTAATAATAATATTCAAAAATAATAATAATACTAATAATTATTATTTTTACAAATCATTAATAATTCAAATGAATATACCAATAAATTAATTAATCACCATACATGGATTTTTTTTGTTTAAATATTTTGCCAACTTAATGTATATGTATTAATTTAATTTTATAATTATTAATAACTAAACAACATTTAAATTTTAACATTTACATTTTCAGATTCCAAATTTTGAATTTCAAATGTTTTTTTACTATAAATTGTCAATCAATTCCCCAATTTTATGTCATATAATTTGATTTCTTACCTATTTAAGTTGATTCGTTTTGATTCATATGGTTAATTCATGGAAAATATCTAATCAACAATAATTGGTTAAGATTATAACATTAAATGTGTATTTCCATAATAACTTACTATTTACTTTTTTATTATATAAAATTCAAGTATAAATACCCCTCATTCCAATCCATTTCACTCACTCATACTCTCTACCCGAATTTTACACTCACATAAAAATAAAAAAATAGGCCATGCCCGAAATGGCTGCAAAGAGGAAATGTATTTTTTTGTTGTTCATTTATTCATAGTTATACATGTTCTTTATTTCATTATTTTGATATAATGATTGTGTCTAATGGCCAATTACACATATACATGTATTTAGTCTAACATGTTATTTGTTGTTTGTTTATGTTATTTTTGTAGATATTATGGTTAACATCGACTTATGTGCTATGTGTGACGACATCGGTTACGTCAAAGTAATAGAAAGAATTTCATGAATCTCATATGAATTGTGTGAGAAAAAATACTCATTTTTTTCATTCCTTAAATGACCGTCATCGAAGTGATAAATGTAAAACATGATATGCAATTAACAATTTTCTATTCTTTATATATGTCAGAAATTATTTTTTATATTGTTTCATGAAGCTCATTTAGTATATGGTTAAATATGTCATTTCGTTATTTAAAATTTTATATATTTCATTTTTTAATCTGTGTAAAGTTGGATCACCTGTTCGTTTTTTTGTTTTGAAAACTTATTGTTTTCGTGTTTTTTTCTTGATTTGTTTCACTTAACTACATTAAAATGTTGAGTACTAATATATCATCACTAATACATTATAGTAATTATATTATTTTATAATTTTACATTAATTTATTTTATTAATGCATTATCATATTAATGGAATGGTAATATGTCAATTAATGGAATAAAATGTAGTATCGAGTTGTCCTTTTTAAATACTCAATCTGAGGAAATTATACAGATATTAATGGAATAGTAATATGTCAATTAATGGAATGAAATATATTTAAATTGTCATAAATAATTTAATATTTGGTATATATATAAGTAATATACTTCAGTATTATTCCATTAAGTATTTAATGAATTATTTAGTTAATAAAAAGCATTATTAACTATATTTTTATTTTCTATTACATTTATTTACGAATTAATTATTTTAATGATTTTTAATTATATAAATTACTTTATTTATTTAATTTTCCTCGCATCTTTCATTGTGATTTTTTTTTCGATAGTATTGTAACATAAGTATTTATAATAATTATTTTGCATATCAACTTATACTTTAGAAAGAACAAAAAAAAATAATGACTTAAATTAACATAAAATAATAATTTAATTTGATTTGTTTGATATTCTTATGAAAAGTATTGATTTTATGGATATGATTAATGACTTGATTTGATTTGTTTGATATTCTTATTAAAATTATTGATTTTAAGGATATGATTGATCACTTGATTTTATTTGTTTATTTATTTTTTGTTATGTTTGCCTTTGTTATACAAAAATTGATATTATTTAGGTTTCTATTTATTACTGTATCAAATCAATGTGTGTATTATGCTAAATAAATTGTAAGTATAATATTTCGTACCTAATAAACACGTAAAAGTGGTAATATTTTAAAAGACATGCTTTCATATCTTTAATTTGACTTTGTTATATCCATTAGCCAATTTTTACGAGGTAGATTAATTGATTTGATTGTTTGGTTAATTTTGTTATGTTTCTTTGGTTATGTTATTTCTGATTATGTTTAATACATTACTATTTAATGTTATTATCAAATCAATACATGTGATTTGAATATTTTTTAGTAACCCCTAACAATCGATTAGAAAATAAGAAATCATATGATGGAATCAATTCCAAATATGCAATTAAAGTACATAATACTAAGTATACCTGGATCCACGATAAATAAATCTCGTATAAACGTGAGCAACACCCGATAATCTAATATTATTTTCTGTATCAGCTCCACCTAAAATAAGAGTATTAATTTGTTTAAATTTATACATGTCAAACAAAAAGCCAGCTTTCTTGTAGTAACAAAAGAGAGAACAAAATATATGGTAGGTACCAAAGAACAAAATTGTGACGCCCACTATCGAAATACAATAATCCTAAATGGTCCAAGAGTCGGAAAAAGAACGATTTGCGTTCAATGAACCACTATAGAAACAAATCATTTGGAATCATAACAGAAGTGGTTCCAACTAGTATACAAGTAAAGATGTGTAACAATTCCGAATTGATAGAGAAACAAATTGAAACTCGTTGAATTATTCAAGGTAGATAAAAGAACTCAATTGAGTAATCAAGGAATCGGGATGAGAAATTACTCGAATAATTCCCGAATCAAGATGAGAACTTATTAAGTTCCATGAAGAGGATTTCGAATCGATCATTATTTTCAACTATTCAAGAATCAAAGTAACATATATCACATTTAAGTGATCAAGAAGCAATAAAATATCTTATTATCAGTGTGCATTCTATTTTTCCAATAAATACTAGTGAAGAAATAGAGATCCTCACCTGAAGTCCATTGCAAGAGCTATAAAAACACCTTACTCTTGAGTCATGCTGAAGTCTTGAATGAGAGCATACCTATCAAATATTAGAATTAAATAAGTTATCGAATGTTAACATAATCGTTTACTATTCGGTTCTATTTTATATAAACATCCTAACTTAAATCTTATGCCATACCTGACAATCGAACATAATACACAATTTCTATGGCGTTCTATTTACCAAATACAACGCACTCCAGGCATCAATTCACATGGTACGGAGTTGACTCGTGTTTGTTTGACGAGTTCTCGAAACAAAGGTTTAAAACATTTGTTTCCACAATTTCTTTGAAAAATCATAACAATTGGTACGATTATCCAAATTGGGAACGTAATATGCCAAATGAAAGCTAACAACAACATCTACATGTTCACTGAAGCCTCTGATCACAAATTATGATCCGAGCATATTCAAAACAGGCCGAAAAGATGATTACAGAAAACTGCCAGAATTTCGGATAAATTCTCTTTTCTGGTACAGTTTTTTGTAAAATTCATACCTATTTGTAAATTTATCCAAATTGGCCAAAAAATATACCAAATCAAAGCTGACAACTTCATCTAAAAGTTTACTTAAGAAATATATCCCAAATTATTATCTTAAGACGGTAATAAAACCCAACGAAGATGATTCATCAAAACTGCCCTGTTTTTGGCAGACTCACTGCCGTCAAATTCTCATCTCTAAAAGGCTATAAAACTTGCTCGAACTAGAAGCAATTTAACACTTACATATAATTATCACGGTCCTCGACGAGTTTTGTGAAGAGACTGATTCGAAAATCTCACTCCAAATCCTTCGATTTCAACTCCGAAAACAGGTGCGGCAGAAGGTTTACTATTTCTCAGAATTTCGCCAACATAGCTGTCGGGTTAAATTTGGTTATATAACTTGAAGAAATAACTAACAAAGTATTTCTCAAATAACAAAGTCTTCTCACCTCGAGTTAGCACCAAAAGCAACATCATAGACCGAAATTTTCTTAGGTACACAACCACGAAAGACACCTGAAATAAGAATCCATTAGTTTCTTAAGCTTCACCTTCGATCACATTACTTTAAACTTGTTGCTATATGTGAATAAGACAAACTTCAAATAACTATTGACTCAAATAACTAATGACACAGATAGATGCTAACCATGGACATTAAACTAGAAACCAACGTTATATGTTGTCACATTATCTTCCAAAAATCGTAGCAGGCCGTACGCTTATCCAAATTGGGAACAATATATATGCCAAATAAAAGTTCTCAACTTTATCTACAATTGTGATGAAGATACCAACCCACAATTACTAAGATAACACAACAATAACAGCCCAAAAAGTTGAATACAGAAAACTGCCAGAATTGTTTTGGACAAACTTGTTTGTTGTCACAGTTTATTTGAAAAATCATAACAATTTGTAGAGTTATCCAAATCAACCACATAATATACCAAATCAAACCTAACAACTCAATATACAAAACATCAGAAGACATATAGCCTAAATTATTACTCCAACATAACAAAAACAGCTCTGTATGATGATTAGGCAAAACTGCCCTGGTTTTTGACAGCCGACCCCTAAAAGGCTATAACACGTGCTCGAATTGGAAATAATTAAACACATACTCATAGTTTTCGAGGTCCTCTACGAGTTTTGAGAGGGAATGATTCCCAAATTCACACTCTGAACCATTCCATTTTGGCTCCGAAAACAGATGCGGTAGCAGATTTTATTTCCCTTAGAGCACCACCATCAATGGGAAGCTAACTTCTCGAGGTTTGTAACGGTACCTTCTATCATCAATACTCCACTGTCATGAACTAGCTTTAACATAGAGAACTCGGTAAAAGAAAACAAAACAGAAAAGGATTTCATTGATTACCAACTCCAAAAGTGAGCTGTAAATCCATACAAGAAAGGAAAGATGCAATAAATAAAGCCTTACATTAAGATCAAATGGCAGCTGCAAAAGGATCACTACTGCTACCTACCTTAACTACACTAGCTAGTCCAAACTTGGGGAGTAATTCCTCCACTTTCCATTTATATAGCTAGGGTTTACCATAAACGTAGGGTTTATGGCAGCCATGCAACCAGCTCACGTGCTACTCACGAGCCCACCCTTTTGAGAATAAACGTTAACTTCTTAACACGTTTTTATAAGTAAAACGCAACTCTTACAAAACGACGTAGTATTGAAATTCAAAAAGATCCCCCCATTTCCCTCCTTAATCAGCCAATCACTACACTCCTCCCCCCTTACTTCAGCCATGTCTCATGGCTGAAAATGCGGATACTTCTTCAACATTTCTTCTCCATCCTCCCATGTGGCCTCCTCGGCAGGCAAGTGTGCCCACTGCACTAACCACTGCCCCACAGCTGCATTCTTTCTCTTCACCAACCTGTGCTCCAACACCTTATCAGGTACAAGCATAATCTGGTTTTTCTCATCCAGTGGAGGTAATTCTTCCACCACCCTTTCATACTTACCTACCTTCTTTTTCAATTGTGAAACATGGAAGACATGGTGAATTTTGGTGTTATCAGGCAGTTTCAGTTCATAAGCAACCTCCCCAATTCTCCTTAGGACAAGAAATGGCCCACAGTACTTGGGAGTTAACTTCCACACCCTACTCTTCCTCAGACTGAGCTGCTTGTAGGGTTTCAGTTTCAGGTAAACCCACTCTCCTTCTTCAAAAGTTCTCTCACTCCTGTGGGGATTAGCAAACCTCTTCATCCTCTCTTGAGCTTGCCTCAGCAACTCCTTCAATTTTTGTGTAACAGCTTGATGTTCCTTAGCCCAAGTCTCTACTCCCACTGTTTTAGGCATTAGATGAGGGCCATATTCCATCTGAGGGGGAGCATACCCATAAAAAGCTTCAAAAGGAGCTCTCTGAATGGTGGAATGGTAAGTGGTATTATACCACTATTCAGCTAAGGAAATCCAGCTGCTCCATTCCTTAGGATAGTGACCACACATACACCTTAAATATGTCTCCAAACATTGGTTTACTCTTTTTGTTTGACCATCTGTTTGAGGGTGATAAGCAGTGCTCATCTTCTGCTGCACCCCCAAGACCTTCATGAGTTCTTTCCTGAAATCGCTAGTGAAAATGGGGTCCCTATCAGATACAATGCTAATAGGGAGTCCATGCAACTTATACACTGTGTCAATGAAGACCTTAGATAGCATAGAAGCTGTAAGGGGGTGACTGAGAGCAACAAAATGCCCATATTTGGTCAATCTGTCCACAACTACCCATATAACCTCTTTTCCTCTAGAGTTTGGCAACCCCACAATAAAATCCATAGAAATGTGAGACCAAGCTTGGTCGGGTATGGGAAGAGGTTGTAGTAAGCCAGGGTTCCTCACTTTCTCATGCTTGTTGATCTGGCAAATGTGGCATTCCTTAACCACTTCTTCCACTTGCAGCTTCATTTGTGGCCACTAGAAAGTATTTTGGACCCTTTGAAAGGTGGCTTGAATCCCTGAGTGCCCACCAAAGCTAGAGTTATGTATGAACTCTATGATTTTTTTCCTAAAATCAAGATTACTTCCCACATAAATCTTCCCCTTGCATCTCAGAATACCTTCACAGTACTCAAAGTAGGAAACATCCATTGGCCTCATAGTGCATTCTACAATGGCTTCATCTGCTTCTTTATCATTCCTATAGCTTTCTCCCACTTCCTTCATCCACATTGGTTGGAGAACAGTGATCTGTGATACCTCCAGTGGTTCCCCTCTCCTTGAGAGTGCATGAGCAGCCTTATTTTCTGCCCCTTTCTTGTATTCTATTTTGTAATTGAATCCAATTAGCTTAGCTAGGTACTTGTGTTGCAGTGGATTAGACAACTTCTGCTCCAGGAGATACTTGAGACTCTTCTGGTCTGTCCTAATAGTGAAGGTTCCACAAATCAAGTATGATCTCCACTTCTGCACTGCCAGTAGGATGGCTAGAAATTCCTTCTCATATATGGACAATTCAGCATTCCTTGGGCCCGGTGCTTTGCTGAGGTAAGCAATGGGGTGACCCTCTTGCATAAGAACAGCCCCAATCCCATACTGGCATGCATCAGTCTCCACTACAAAGCTTTTACTAAAGTTGGGAAGCTGCAGCACTGGTGTGTTGATCATTGCTGCCTTCAATGCTTCAAATGCCTTGTTAGCTTCATCACTCCAGCCAAACTGTCCCTTCTTGAGCTGTGATGTCAAGGGCTTGGCAATGGTTCCATATCCTTTGACAAATTTCCTATAATAGCCTGTCAACCCTAAAAACCCCCTCAAAGCTTTAACTGTCTGTGGTAGTGGCCACTCTTTAATACTCTTAATCTTCTCCTGATCAACCCCCACACCATTTTCATAAATTACATGCCCAAGGTACTCTACCTTCTTCTGATTGAAACTGCACTTAGAGGATTTGGCAAACAGTTGGTGCTGCCTCAACAATTCTAGCACTGTCCTCAAGTGGTCCAAATGTATGGCTTCATTTGCACTGTAGACCAATATATCATCAAAGAATACCAGTACAAATTCTCTCAACTGCCTCCTTAATATGTCATTCATCAAGGATTGGAAGGTTGCAGGAGCATTAGTAACCCCAAATGGCATAACTTTGAACTCATAATGTCCTGAAGAAGTCACAAAGGCAGTCTTTGAGATGTCCTCAGATTTGACCCTAATCTGATGATAACCAGCCCTCAAATCAATCTTGGAGAACACCCTCGCCTGGCCCAATTCATCCAAGAGATCATCAATAATGGGGATAGGGTAGCTATCCTTGACAGTGATTGCATTTAACCTTCTGTAATCTACACAGAACCTCCAACTTCCATCTTTCTTTTTTACTAAAAGAACTGGTGAGGCAAATGGGCTGGTGCTAGCTTGGATTATCCCAGTTTCTAGCATCTCCTCTACCATTCTTTCCACTTCTTTCATTTGCATATAAGGGTATCTGTATGGCTGTGCCTTAAAAGGAACAGCTCCCTCTTTTAAGGTGATTGATTGATCAATGGCTCTGCTAGGTGGCAACTCTGTAGGTTCTTGGAAGATGTCCTTGTATTCCAACAGTAACCTCTCCATGCTATCAGTTTTATTTTGATCTGAAGGTTGTTCCTTCTGTTCTCCACTCATCATAAAAAAACATCCCAGTCCTACTTGCCCCTTCTTAAACATCTTACTCAGCATCTGGCCAGTGATCATGCTTATAGAGGCTTCTTGCTTGTCAGCATAGATGGTTATATCTTTGATACCATGCCTTAGTGTAACAAATTGATTCACATGGTCAAATAGCACTGGTCCAAATTTCTGCATGAAGTCCACACCAATCACTGCATCAAATCCCCCTAATTTGAGCAGTCTCATCTCAAATATGAAGTGATGCTTCCCCATTTCCCACTGAAATGATGGGCATTTAGCATTACAATCCATTTGATTTCCATTGGCCACTGTGACTAACAATTTGTTAGTGTATATTACTTCACATCCTAGTTTCCTTGTTGTTTGAGGGTCCAGGAAACTGTGAGTGCTTCATGTGTCAAGAAGCATGGTCAAGTAATTGTTCTTGACCTTGCCCTTGACCTTCAATGTGTTGGCAGTTGACTGTCCAGTCAATGCAGTGAGAGAGATGCCAATAGTTTCTTCTTCTACCCCTTCTGCACTTCCTCTAACTGTTCTAAGCCTTCTCCTTCATCTAGCTCCTCTTCAACCCCAACAATGGTGAATACATTCTTACACTTATGCCCTGGAACAAACCTCTCATTACAATTGAAGCATAGTCCCCGCCTTTTTCTGTCTTCCATTTCTGGTTTAGACAGCTTCCTTATGATGTTTCCTTTATGACTGTGGTTTGATGTGTTCTAGTTTCTGTTAGTGCCACCCTGGTGAGTCTCTTTCCCAAACCTATTGGCTATATTTGTAGCTTGTTTGACAGTGTTTCTCAGCCCCATCTTGAGGTGGTCCAAAGTGTTTTCATATATCTTAGCTATCTGTATAGCTTGTGCTAGAGACA